AGCATCCGGGTTCCTGCAGAGTGTGACGCGATTGAAAGCGGTGGATTCACGATCCACTTGATCGCGGTCACGTCGAAGATAAAGGGTGGAGGGGGAGGAAGCTTTGAGTTTTCCTTGCCGCTTAAAAACCGGAATCCTTCACGGATAACGTGAATTTTAAGGGGAAATTCGCTTTGGAAAATAAGCGTTACGAAATTGAATGAGGACTGAGACTTGATCAGATTTAACGAGTCTTCGCGAAGAATTTAATCTTTAAGAGAATTTAATTTAATCGTTTCTTAATTGGAGAATTTTGTGTATAAGATGTATTAGAATTTTGAGACGAGAACGGGCAGAGAATTTTATCGAGGATGATCCGAGGAGTATCAGTGGAAATATGTCGATCATTTTAATCATATAATATAATATAACAATCCTTCAATCAATTGAATATCTAAATTCATACTTTTGTTTTAATGATAGAATTTATGGATCAATTTTTTTTATAGCAACTGGATTTCATGATCTTCATGTATTAATTGGGTCAATTTTTTTATTTGTATCTTTATATCGATTAATAAAAATTCAATTTTCAAATATACATAATATTAATTTTGAATTAGCAATTTTTTTAGCATCATATCTTGTTGATATCAATAATTTAATAAATAATTTTCATCGAAAGTGTGGTCTTACTAAAATACTCTTTTAATAAAACGATGAATCGAACGTTATTGCATGTCTCTTCTCAAATAAAATTATATAATTTTTAATATGCCGATCGATGCAACGCGTCGATTTTCTATAAAAAAGAAACAATATCAATACTTGATCATTAATTAAAAAAAATACAAAAAACCATTTTTACTTGAATATTTTTCACTGCTACTAATAATCATAATAAATATTAACCAGAATCAGCTCACTCTCATACATAATCTATCAATTTACGATACGTTTTATCGTCTCTCGCCAATTATCCAGAGAGCAATAGAACTTACCGCGAACTTTCACGGAGCCAACCTCAACCCCTTCGCCTCGATTTTTCCGTATCCGCCGCGTGCCACGAATTCCGCTCGTCAAATTACGAAGACGAGCGCAAGTTCCTCGTGCCTAACTCTCTCGTCAAAGTGAGTTTCGACTTGGGGATTCCTCTGCCTCGAAACGTTGCCGCCTGTTCGTCTTTAAGGGGCTGCGAGTCACTGATATGTACCTACCCTTCCACACATTGTTTCACAAGCGAGGTATGCGTGCAATCCGTGTCTCTTTGTATAATCCTTTTTGCTTCGTTTTGCTATGTTAATAACGTTGAAAACTGTCGGCAACTGGAACGGAACTCGATGGATACAAAACGATATCGTTCGTGGAATATTTTCCGAAATTTATATTTATATTTCAACGAGAGATAACGAGTCGTTCCTTTTTTAAGTGGTATTAGTCAAGATATGCTCGAACAAAGATCGTGTTGAAAGATTCAGAGGGAAGACAATCATCGAAAGATTTACCAAATTATCAAAGTATTTATTCAATTGATTTCGAAAGTTCGAACGATGAACAGATTTTTTTTATATTCTATAATCTAATCGACTCCTAACTTGTTTCAATTTTCCAACATATTATTAGAAAAATTTTCGAAAAGATTATCAAGAAATCATTCGCAAACAATTTAGGATAATCGAAGCAATCGATGAAAATGATATAACACGTACAAAAATTGTACGATTTTGTTGTCGTAACAATATATTCATCGCGACGTGGCAACAACATCCACAAGCTCGAAAAAGATAGTGGCGCATTTGAGCCCGGTTCTCGCAATCGATTACACGCGGAATCCTATCCGATTTGTTCCAATTGCATCCCTCGGACGATTACGGGCGCAAAATAAACTCTGAAAGCGGATATTTATTTCGATATTTATCGCTTGGCCTTGCGTTCACGTTTGGAAGCGGGTGGTGAACGCGTCATAGAAGGTATTTCCTTAACTTATCCCGACTCGAAGAGAAACGGTGACGCGAAACCGAGACGACAGAATCGCTTTAATTGGGAGAACGCGACACCCGCGAAAGACGCGCTTGGAGATTCGTCGATACGAATTCCCGGTGCAGGATGAGGGGAATCGAGTTAAGGTTAGTTAGAGAATTCGGTTGGCTGGCACAATGGATGAGCCGAAGGCTGTGGCGCGAAACGAGTGTCGACGCTTGTAAAGAGTATCTTCACGTTTCCGGGAACCGGCGAGACCTGATCCGTGGTAATGAGAGACTTTAGAACCCCGTCTCCTCTGTACACACGCGGAAGAGGGGCACAATTATTGCGAAAGTTCGTTCTCGGTTTACTTTGCAAGTTATGCTACCTCCTTTTCGAGGGGGGCGCCTGCGATCGAACAACTGCGTCCTTGCACGAGCGGGAAGAATTTAACGATGGGAGGATCGATCGAGATCGAGTTGCGTTTAAGAATTCGTTGTTGGATTGGAAAAATTGGAGAAGCAAAATCGAATAACGAGTAATATTTACTTATAAATTTAGATATTAAATGTGTGAATAATTTTCGAATGATATTTGGTTACGAGTAATATTTCGTTATTTTTCGTTATTTATTATTATTATATATTTTATAATAAACTTTAATTATAAACGTTGAAAGAATGTATAATTAAATATAATTATACGAGTTATTCTTAGTAATAATTTATAATATCTTTGAAAGATGTTTCGCGTTTTGTCGCATTTCTGTGCTTGGTAGAAACAAAACGGGGAATAAGATGAAACTGGTGAAACGTTAAAAGGTAATTAAATATCAGATTAACAAACGATATTTCTACGGTAACAGGAGGGGGAAAAAAGGAATGCCGTAATTGAAGCCGATCCGACACGAATCGGCTTTCACGAATTCCCCCTCTTTTTTCCGTTTCACCGGGTTAATTAATCCACATCGTGGCTCTTTCATTATCGCAACGTCGAGACACGGTATACATAAATTACGTGCCGTGCCGGTACGACAATGTTCACCGCCATTTTTCCGTCCGCCACCAGCTTGTCACAGTCCACGTATACACGGCTTGATTCAACAACTATTATTGCGTCTATACGTTTCTATACGCGAATATATTATTCCGAAACGAAATTTTTACGGTAAAAGTTTAACAAGTTTTAAATTGGTAAAAGAAAAAAAAGAAATATCCATAAAATCAAATTTAATTGCTATTGGAAATTCGAATAATGATCATCGAATTGTGCAATCTTGATAATTGTCGCGAAAATAAAGTAGGAAATTGTAATCGAAGATTGAAGAATAAATAAACCGAGGAGAAAGCAGATACTGGAAGGGAAAGTGGTCAGTCTATAGTCAGACATTATTCGTAGTACAAGATCAATGAGAACTAAAATTGTAAAGTACCACTTTAATCGAGGATTACAAACGAAATTATTTTTATTGTTCGGCCATTATAAGTCATAATAATCGCACTCATGTTGCTACTGTCGATACTTTATCCCTGCCTATTCATATTCGTGTGTATAAAAATCGAACGATTATAGAATAGAACGAAAGAGAATCGAGTCAAAGAACTCTAGCATGAAGAAGATCGGTAGTCGATATCACTCGAGCTTACGTTAAAAACGTATCGAAGGAGTATGGGCGTTGATGTAAAAGGGACGGGTCGAGAAAGAAAAGCAGGATGAAATGGAGAAAAAGAAAAAAAGAAGAAGAAGAAGAAGAAGAAGAAAAAAGGAGAAGAAGCGTGACGTTCAACTTTGAAACTCAAATAAGGTACTTAACAAGTGTCGGGATGGTTTCGAGGTTGGAAAGATGGACGAAAGAGAGTTTTCCTCCCGAAAACCTTTGGAGCTCTGGCAAGTTTCTTCCCTCTGCTCAACTTTGTATCGCGGGGAGGGGAAAGGGGATAAAAAGTAGTCGCTAATTTCGTTCCTCCTCGACCCGTACGTATGCATAAAACGCAACCGAAAGTTTGCGCGGAGGAACGCCGATGCTCGCGATAGTGGAAAAAGTTTATAAACATTGAAACGGAGACTCAATCGCAAAGATGCTTACACCTGCTACGATTTCGCATCTCTCCTTTCTTCTCTTCTCTTTCCTCGCTTTGTATTATTTTGAAAAATAAAGAAACACTCTTGCAAGTTGTCACTATAACTTCGATTAAGTGAACCGATCGTTAGAAAGATGCTTTACCTTAAGACTTTATCTAGATCGTCGTGTAAAGGAAAGGGTAATTTTTTTAATCGCATCTCGCCTCGTTGATGTATCCCAAATTCCAGATAAATGACGGAACGATCTCTGGAAGAACGTAGTACGCGTTTCCAGGAAAAAAATATATAAGTCATTGGGTCCATTCATACTCTTTTGCATTGTCTTAGAGATTAGCTCTCGACTAGTCTCGATCGATGACATAGCTTCCTCTATTTTTCTGAGCACGTTTCCATAATATATATATCAACGACACGATTCACAATCTAGTCACAAATATTACATCCTCGAGTGAAATTAATACGATTTCAGATCTATAGAAATCTATTTTTTGAAGTTTGCTAGAGTTTCACGCGATACTAAAAAAAAAAAAATTTGAACAATTTATTAGGAGAGAAAGCGGTTTCACAAAAGGGAAAAAAAGTTACCGCAAAATATTTAATCGAAACTACTCCGCTTGAGTAAAATCGCGAAATTTCAACCATACTGACAACCGTTCGCAATCCGAGCGATTCGTTTCGTGTAAACGATCGTACTAAACCCTATATATATATATATANNTACACATATACACACACATACACATATATATATAGGAAGGGAGAAAAAANAAGGAAAGGAAGGAACAGGAACGAACAGATTGAAAAAAATGTGTTTTTTAAGCGGAAACGCGTATTTGCTTTCGCGGGGCAACGTGTACACGCGATAGTTGCGCGTCGACGAGTTTTCGGGTTAAAAAATATGCGGCCAATTTACCAGGGGAAATTGTTCCATGAGAATTTCATAAATCACCGGCCAAATATCAATTACGTCGCGATGCGAGGAAACTACAAAAGCGAGAGGGTGAGAGTTAAAAAGTGGAAAACTACTCAACGATTAGCGTAAATGGCTCTCCCTCGTTTCCAGGGAGGCCTGTGTAACCACGTTATTTTTCTCAGTTTATACACGTCACCGTGGCAGAAAACCGTGAGGAAAAACCGTTTCCCTGGCCAATCGATACGCGCGTATACCATGGAGCTGGGCCGAGTTTCAGAACAATGTCTTTTCCTGGAAACGGCGAGAACAACGTCGAGCCGGCTCTTTAATCACGCCCAGCTGCGCCGCCAGGGAAGAGTTAAACAATACGAGAGAGATTGAAATTACCATTTCGGTAACGGCGCAACTGGATTTTTAATAAACCTTTCTTTCTGTGATTCGATGAAATTATAATCGATACTCGCCAATTCGAATTATTATTTTTACCCTAGAACGCGTCGAAATGGTATTTCTTTCCTTCGAACATCCTTCTAAAGATTTCTGACGCGCCCCAATTTAATTTTTTAACGTTTCGATTTCGAAAAATCTCGTCGAGATTACAATATACGCGACGATAGTTAGAAACCAGAGAGAAAGATAATCTAAAAATCAAGGAACAATTGTCAAATTCTCCATCGTTTCTAGTGGAAAAATGGGGGAGGTACGGCTTCGAGATATTTACATCGTAATTCGAAGACGGATCGTGTATATTTTCATCCGTCTCTGACGTTTCCCGTTCACTCCCTCCCCCGGCCGGGTGAATTACAAACGTAATTCCAAACGGAATCCGTGGTGGCGTTCCGTTAAAATTCTCTTTCGACCGGCGGTTTGTTATTCCGCCCGAAGAAATTCCATTCGGCGAAGCAATTAAATTCTACGACGTTCCTAATGAATCGCGTTTTTTTTTTTCCTCTTTCCTTTCTCCTTTTTTTCTCTCTTTCCTTTTTTTAATTACAAAGGACGAGCGTGGAATAAATTGTAACGTCTTACCGGCTCGTCGCCCCCTCGAACGGCAAACGTTTCTCTCGCGAGGCGTTGCCGCATTCCAGGACAGTGATTTTAACACCGCCGTTCCCTCGAAACGTTACGATTACGGCCGCAGTTTAACAAACCTTCGCGTTCGAGAGTAATTGGATTAGAATTCCGACGAGAGCGTGGTTTTGTGCGAGCTCCGGAAAAAAAAAAAAAAAAATTCCTTCCTCATCACCACGCGTGTTTATCGAAACCACGCCTTGTCGATTTCGATCGAGTAATAGATCACTTTGGAATCGGGTTAATTTCAACCCCCTTCTCCTTCCTCTTTTAGTCCCCTTTCGTCTCGCGGAATTATTTAACGCGGAAAAGTAACGGTAATAAGCTGAGAAGTGGTGGTCGAGGAGATTAATTAACGTTTCAATAAGGGCATCGTGGAAAATTGGAAAATTGAAAACGCAGAGGAGGAGGGGAGGGGGAGCCGTTGGCGGCTGGGACCGGTGTGTGGCGGGTTTATACGGTTAAATTCCACTTTAAATTTCCATCGTGGTCACTTTACCGTACCAAGCAATTATTCCGCGACTCTGTTAATACAACGCGATGGGAAAATATGCCAACAGAATTCGGGGGAGGGGGGCAAATTTCATGTGTGTCCAACCCGTTAACGGCCTCGAGTGTGAATGACTTTTACGATCTCTAAATACGCTCGTTTCGAAAAAAAAAAAAAAAAAAAATAAGATCAACCCGAGAAACCTGCCCGTTGTTTTCGATGAAATTGAGGAAGAGGGTGTCTTTTTTAAAAGAGCATTTAAACGAGAGAAGACGAGTCTGCATCGAGATAACGTCTCCTCAACTTCCATCGAGAGAAAAGAAATTCGTACATCCGTGGAAAAATTGGAAAATTTCCCGCTCCTCGATCGATTAATCCTCGAGATTAAATAAACGACCCGTTTAATAAAACGACTTTGAGGGAGGAGAAGCGAGTTTAGAGAGTTTAGGAGAGAAAATGAAAAAGAAAAGGTGGATCGACGTCACGAAACCGCTACTCGTGTGCTCGCCGACTACTTCCCGGACGTATTAAGTCGAACCGGCGACCGTAAGTTTTTCAATTTTCAAGCCTGGAAACTCGAGGGCGAGCATGTTATCATCGAGAACTGCGTGCAGAGGTAAAAGGGGACACGAAACCGCGTCACGCCAATCCGCCGGCTGTACACTGTGGCGTGCGACCGTGCGCGGAACGCCGCGCCGTTTGTAATTAGTTTTGCCATTAAGCGACTTTGAAGTTTGCTCACGGTGATAAGCTGATGGTCTGCAACCCCGCCTTTTCCCTCCTCTCTTCAATTCCCTTCGCCTTCTTCGCCGAGCGTTCACGCGATGCTCATCCACGATGCATCCAGCAATCCAGGAATGGGGGGTCGTGTGGATTTCGCTTTTTAAAGGGAGCGTAATGCGTCCACGCGATCGTTCTCGATGATAAATTTGCGGATCTTTGTGGACAATCGCATCGATCGTGTTTGAAAGTCGAGTCGATTCTTCCTTCTTTCCTTCTCTTTTGAGTGAATTTTAATCAATTAGTTTTCTTTTTTTTTTTTTTTCTTATGTATTCAAGGTATTCATCGTTACATACTCCGTTTAATAAGCGATTATTGTTATTTATTAGTTGTAATTTTGTCTTTCGATTGCGGATTTGGATTAATGAGATGATTTTGCGTTAATTTTTCTTTTTATATATGATAACACGTGAAAAATAGAAGAAAATAAGCTCGAAATATAAATTTAATATAGTCTATATCTAGAATTTAATGAACAACTTGTTTTCAATCGTTTATTTCTTTAAATATTGACTCGATTGAATAATACAAGATATGACAAAAAACATCGTGTATAAAACCGACAACAACATCGCGAATAACATTTAAAAACGCGTATTTCGTTTAAATAGAAATCCACTGCAGAAGAATTATCCTTAATCACTGCGAACTAATCAGCGAAAGAAACTTGAAGGAAGAAAAAAACTTTTCAATCGGTTCGCGTTAATTTATTACTAAGATTAACTCGCACAAACAAACGATGAAATAACTTGCTTGATTCGGTATCACCAGTGAGCACTCGCGAGTTTTCTTTGCCAGAGAAATTATTGCGGGTTAATTATGTTTACGGGGAAAGGGAGGGAAATTTACCGAGACAGTGTACACAACGTGATTCACAACGTCGCCAGGAAGCGAGGCTTCTTCTTGTACTCTCGTATATTCCGGAATAAACAAATTTTTCCACCCACGCTGTTTCCATCCACGATAGCTTGAACCAGCCACACGACAAAGCGCACCGCGCTTTTTTCTCTCTCTTTACTACGTCGCATCCGTGCTCCATAGAACAAAACGCGTCGAATCTTTCCTCGTGTGGATGAAATTTTTAATCTTTTCAAACGCTCAACAACCGAGGATCAAAAGATCGTTCCAGGTATCGCTTCGTCTTTTCTAAAAGAATATTCTCTTTCCACGAGAGCAGAATGATATTTTCCAAAATCGTTATCAGTACACTGTCTTTGCAACATTCAAAAATCACCGAAATTTTTAAATTTTTTTAATAATCGAGGATCAAAAGATCGTTCTAGGTATCGCTTCACCCTTCTCAAAAATCCTTCTCAAAATATTTTCTTTCTACGAGAGCAGAATGATATTTTCCGATTTTAAAATTTGTGTACTGATAACGATTTTTAACGATTTTTAACGAATTTTAGCGATTTTAAAATCGTTATCAGTACACTGTCTTTGCAACATTCAAAAACCAGCGAAATTTTTTAATTTTTTTAATAATCGAGGACCAAAAGATCGTTCCAGGTATTGCTTCGCCCTTTCCAAAAGAAAACGGAATATTCTCTTTCTACGAGAGCAGAATGATATTTTTCAAAATCGTTATCTGTACACTGTCTTTGAAACATTCAAAAACCACTGAAATTTTTTAATTTTTTTAATAATCGAGGATCAAAAAATCGTTCTAGGTATCATTTCACCTTTCTCAAAAAAAAACGGAATATTCCCTACCCAGGATAGCAGAATGATATTTTCCAAAATTGTTATCACTGTTTTTGCCAATAACATTCAGAAACCACCAAAATTTTGTAATTTTTTTAATAATTCAAAAAATCGTTCCAGGTATCGTCCTTTCCAAAAGAAAACGGAATATTCTCGAGATCCACGAGAGCAGAATGATCGCGACATTTTCCAAAACCGGTATCAGTACACTATCTTTGCGAGCAACGTTCAGAAAGCACCGAAAAAAGTTACAATATTTCCTATAATCGTAATATCGAGTCGAGGATTGAGCGCTTCGATTATACGGAGCCTCTTCCACTCCCTACGTCCTTTGTAACGTGCATTCAGCCTCTCGTTCCTGTGCAAGTATACCGCGCGCAAACAGTATAAGACACGGCCGAGCGAACGCTCGCGCATCCGTTCCTAAGCTGATTACGATATATGGGGATTGATGGAGCGGAGAACGCGGGGGGAGAAAGTATCAGTTCGCGTAACTTTTTACCGCTCACGATGACGGTAAGTCGTGAAATTACAAAGTGGGGAGGGAAGATTTTCTTCGTCCACCTTTCGGGGATCGATTTAACGCGTTACGAGATATTGAATTTCGAGGCGTGTTGGAAAATGTGAAATGATGGACAGGATTTTTGAATCTTTGTAATTTATTACAAATTACGAAATAGAGAGAGAGAGAGAAATATGTAAGAATATCTAAAAAATAATAAGACTTTTTTCGATTGGCTTTGAAATTTTTTGAAATCACAATCACTAAAAAAGTTTAATTTAACAAATGCATTTAAAAAAAGAATCTATCTAATTTAATCATCGTCACGAATCAAACATGGTATCTCTTCGTGATACTCTCATCAACGAAACACAAGCAAAAAGTAAAACCTTATAAAACTCAAATTGATTCATTCAAATAGAATTTCCCCAGCTAATGGAGAGCATTGTAACGAGGAAGTACAACGTATCCGGCAGTATCTCCCCGCGAAATTGCTTCTTATGAAAACTCGTTCGAGGAATTC